AGTCTCACAAATATTGAAACGTCCCATACGCAACCCTTTTGCAACTGTAAGAAGCCGTTCTGAAACCCTCGTAACCCAACGTTCCGCAAGCCTTCTGCTGAAGCCTACTCATACTAAGCAGTCATGCCTCTATTACCTACCTATTAAACACGCTACCTTGCCGAAAGTGCTACTAGAATTCCTAAAGAAATCCCAACTCTAAAGCCCGAAGGTTTTAAAACCCTAAAACCCTGAGACCCCAAAAGGCTAAAACCCTACGGACCTAAACCCCTCAACCCCTAGAACCACCCCAGCCCTAAAGCTTCTCCTGAAGCCCTCCATGGCAACGAAAAATCGGTTGCTCTCCAACTTCTCCGCTGCGAAGCTTCCTCGGTGGTGTAGGGCCCAAGGGCTTCGGTATAGGGCTCAGGGTTTAGGTTTCGGGCTTAAGGTTTATAGGGGATGAGGTTTAGGGTTTCGTAGAGTTTTGTTCATGTTGCCGCGGAACGAGCGTTTTGGAGGGTCTGGGCTGACGAACTACACTCAGCTACTACAGTTAGGACTCCCAGGAAGCTCCTCTCAGCTACCCGGAAAACCAGGAACTGAACCATATACTCAGAGCCCCTGCAGCCTACTTAGTGGTCTTGTTCAAAGGCTACCAAATGAACCAACCATACGACATGAATCCAGATGATAGGGACGCCTTTCATTTGTCCCGAAAAAGCACCAAGAAAGCTTCATTAAAGGTTGGGCATGGGAAAACTACCTTCCTGAAGCAACTGGAATTGCAAAACCAGAATCCGATCCGAAGCAGCCAGATAACCCTAATTGTCGCCCCAGAACTACCTGCTTAGGGTTACCGTTGTGGCTTCCTTACATGTCAAATGTAGTAAGTGTGATGCATCACATGTATATATATATATATCTATATATAGATACACTATATATATACACATACATACATACATACATACATACATACATACATACATATACATGTACATACGAACTAGTTCACTAGACAGGTCGGTCGTATGGGCGCAATTACACCTAAACCTTGAGGCTTAAAGCCCAAAAGCGAAGTTCTAGACACAACAACCCTCTAAACATTGTCTAAACCCTACACCCTCGGCTTGGAAGCCTGAATCCTCAACCCTGAGCCCTACATGCTTGGAACGCTGATGCCGCGGTCTGGTCGGATGCAGCTGCGCCACGGATTGTGGGCATGTTTGCCAGGCCTGAGTTGGGGTTTAGGATGCTTTCGTAACTGTGTTCGTTATTGCAGGATTTGGGGCTTTAGAGTGTAAGGTATTTGTTGATTTCAAAGTTTTTTGAAGCACAATACGTGTGTTGATTCTTCTAGGGCTTCGATAGTGTATTCAAGCAGTATGTGTTTGCTCCTCCTACGAAATAACGTTTAGTTAGGATAGTATAACACTTGCGTCGGCGTAGGGTTTTGGCCCCTAGCAAACAATACTAGTTGCATTGCACCCTAGAACAATGACTAGACTAAATGAAAGCTTGTCCTAATTGCCCAAACCCTGAACCTTAATTGAAGACATAGGGTCCTTCGTCTGCTACAGCATTGGCATCTGCCAGTGCTTTCTGCGTCCGCGTGCTCAAATCTTTCCTGAAGGTGCGTTTTAGGGTTTCAGTTGACAGGTTGATACGGGTTCCATGGGCCTTTCAGATACGATTGTAACACGGCTTGGGCGGATTGTTTTCACGGTTCAGGTTCCTGGACGAGGACTCCCTGGTACGGGGGTCGGAAAATCTGTGCCACAAGAAAAAGGTTGCCTACCCAGCTACGAAGGGTTTAGGGCTTCGTAGCAAAGGCAAACCCTAACGTCCTTCTGAGCACAAGGCCTACTTTCAAACCTGTGCATTGGATTTGGGTTTGGACCTCGGGTTTGGGATCTAGATCTTCGTGGTAGGCCGAGGAAGAAGATCAATGCACATTCTGTTACAGTCTGTCGCTGGGTTGACTAACATGCATAGGTTCCGAGCACATAAAAACCTGAACACAAAGACTAGCAACACGCACAGCGCACACATATCTGCTTGCACTGTTCTGCCAGCCCTCTAGTCCCCCATGCATCATGCAAGGAAGACATTCAATTAACAAGATTATGCTGCGTTTAGAGTCAAGCCGAGTCACATAATCTTCCCATACTTCATCGAGATTATGACGACCGCAGGCACCGACACAAAGGCTACCAGAGTCAATGGAGTTGTGATTGCGAACATGAAAACCTCGGGCTGCGATGTTCAAGGGAAGCACAGCAAGCTTACAGTCAGTCACGGCTTCTGGCTCCCAAACAGCTTCTTAATGAAAGGATCACCCAAAACCACAAAGCAACACAATTCTAATATTCTCAGGACTTTCAATGGGCCCTCCCCCTCCTCACCCCCAATGCGGCAAACCATGCTGACGAAGTGGCAACCCTGAACACCAAACGTGAACAACAAAGCACGTGGTAAGTTGCGTACATCGTCTGTGCATGGCCATGGGGAACAGAATTATGTTACTACTTAATTTGCCAACATCCCCTCACAAATGGTTCTATGATGTCCTATGGCAAGAAGCCAAGGTGGTGACAATGGAGACCATCGTCCTAAGGAAGACGTTGACGTTTAAGTAGACTTGCTCGACCACCTCGCAGGAGGCTTGAAAAAGAGGGCCTGTATAGGTATAAGGCTTGACATGGGTTTCTGAAAAGGATTTTTTGCGTGTTGAATAGGTTTTAAGGACACAACTGGGCTACCTAGTCAAAGGATTGGAGGGTGTCGAGTACAGGCTCCAAGCGTTTTGACTAAGGTGCCTACTGTTTTGGTTTACTCACCTTCACACAAATACCAGAGTGAGCGTCAAAACCCCCAAAACGAAGCCGAAACACAAAAGCTGTAGGACCGCAGCGCAACCCTCATCTCCAAACCCTTCCACCCCAATCTCCCAAGAGCTCGCCTGTGAACAGTCTTGGGTCATGCGCGATGTCAGTTCCCCCGTCTGCGTAGTGTCGAAGAAACCGATCTCCTCGAGGCAATAGGGCTTAATGTGGCGGCATCAATCATGACAAGAAGAATAGGCTTTTCTGGGCTGATCATAGGGGGATAATATCACTGCTACACTGAATTGCACGGATTTGCGAGGTATTCCGACCTCTGTCTCTACAGATTTACCGCAGTTGAAGGGTCAAAGCATTCGGGTTATCCTAGTTGTAAATCCTCATCCCCCACCTATGCTGAGGCTTGAACGTTTCGACTAGGACAGTAAGTATTAACTGTTCTGCGTTTCTGCCCTATACACATGTTAAGGAACCTTAGAAAAAGTCGTTCGAATTCTTCAGACCCTATAGCAGGGATGAAAGGATTAGGTAGGGCCTGATTTCCACAATCAACGAGGAGTACTCGCTGAAGGAAACCTTAAAGATACCCCAAACGGTTCCCCTACAAAATCCACGGAACCAGAACCCCAAAACCTGAACCAAACCCGAAATCCCTGAACATCTCTCCCAGCGCTTCCTGGCGAAGAAGCGTGTCGAAGAGGTGGCAACGGAGGCGAAGGCCAACCTAGGATTTACTCGAACGGTCCAGGTATCTCCTTAAAGCGGTCCGGAACCTCCTAAACAATGTTGTTGGGCTTCTTTGGGGTATCAGAAATCGTTTTGGGCTTCGGTTAATTACCTAAAAAGAGCTTCGGGGTTTAGCGCTAAGGAGGTACACTGCTTACCTTAAAAAGTCGTTACAAGGTCATGCAAGTTATCTTCGGAATCCGTTTTACAGGGTGTAGCAAGTTTATGATGGGGCACTTCGAACCGTAAGTGTTCGGCTGAAGTTTGGTGTACATCACGGCCCCGGCGACGTCATCAGGCGAGGGCAGAAGAAGAAAACCGCAAAGCAGAACAAAACAGGCCTTGCAACGGCTCTGGTTAGCCAGATCTGTGTTTGCATGCCACCCCTAGATACGGAGAGCCCCAGAAGGCTCTTAGTCTTTCAGCTGTTGCGTATGTATGTATATGTATATACATATATATATACTTTCATCTATTTGTTTATTTATACATGCATACGTACATACACGCATAGATATATGCACACATGCACACATACATGTAGCTGGGCAGAAAGGTAGACAAGTAGCTATCTATCTATCTATCTATCTATCTATCTATATATATATATATATATATATTCACACAGGCAGAAAGCAGACAAAGACATAGAACAATAGGCAAAGCTATGGACAAACAGATTGGCAGAGGGCTAGACGAGCGACTCCAGTCAAAAAAGGACCCAACCTTCCAAACGTGAAAGACGAGTTGCCTTGAACTCCCGATTTCAATATCCAAAGCCCAGGGACTCGCCCGCCGATCATAATGAACGTCGCCTTGGACCATAAGACTTTTCTTGCACTTAGGCTCACAAGCTAGGGTAGCGGTAATAGTATGGTTATAGACATTATTGATCACGGGATCTGGTTACGAGCCGGGGTGAAGGATATGGTGGCCGGGCCCAAACAATCCACTCGTCCCCATGCCGCCCCCTGCTCCCCAGCAAACAGTTTTTTCGGGATCCGCGGATTCATCGTGCGTGGCTTGACGCTACCTAAGAAGCTCTGCCCTTCCTCCTGTTTGAGGTTATCTGAAACCCTAAACTCTAAACCGTAAAAGCCCTGCACCCTAAAACGTATGTGCTGTTTGCTCATGCGGGGAACCATGTTGCAAAGACAGGGCCCGGGATCCTCTACCCAAAATCCCTCAACCAGAAAGCCCCACACCACCCTACTGTTGATGGACAAAATTCTGCATGACCCAAATATAGTATAGCACCATAAATCCCATAGTTTAGGTATATAAGCTCTTGCAGGATTTTGTCCATCAGCCGTATGACCTTGTGAAGCTTGGGCGATGAGGCCCGGATCTGGCCGGATAAGTACATGGCCTATATAGTCAAGCTGGGGCAGCGGCGGTTTGTGTTATGTAGTTCTACGAGAGCCCCCATAAAATTATTAATAGAATCTACGATCATCATTTCCTGGCGCCGGCGAATCTGGCTTCAGAGCCCTGAGCCCTAAACCCTCCAAGCTTCCGACACCGCGACACGCCGAAAAGATGGCGGAAGCTGTTGCCACCACCTGGGCTCGTGCAACGGAGCCTATTGTTGAGCTACATCAACTAGCATAATCAGGAAAGCTTGTTACCATTATTTGTAGATCCCTATGGTGGAAACTGAAATCGCATTCCTGAAACAAGAGCCCAGCCACCAGGAGGAGGATCACTGGCTGCTTGTAAGGTCGGGAAGCGAGAGTGCCACGCTCCTCTCAAGGTGTTGGCCGTTTTGCAACGAAACCTTGATACCGTAGGGGCCTTAATAACACCAATTGGGTTTTGGGGCCCACTGTACTTTCACTCTACCCCCAAACTAGTGTTGGCAAGTATTTAGGCCCTATATTACGTGTATTAAAGCCCCTGTGCTATGTACCGTTGTTTCGAGGCTCAGGAGACCTATGAGTAGGGATCAAATTAGTTAGGCTAGCTCCGCTTACGGCACTAGTAGGGTGCCTGTAGCCTATAACCGCAATGTGATCGACTTCCCACGCCCTAAAGCCGTAAATCCCGAACCCTAAACAAGCGTGTTCGACTTCGGAAGTCTGCAGAACCAACATCCGCCAAAAGGAACGTTGCATTTATGGAACCCTAAACGCCTGTTTAAAGATAAGATGATGAGATCCTCTGCGCGGATGATCTCGTTGATGGTCTCCCCGACATAGTGTGGGATGAGAACATCTGCGATGGCTGCAATGACCAGGAAGAACGACGCCTGGCATAGAGATTGACCAAAATCCAAACCCTAGTTTTAAATAACAAGGCTCCGGTATTTGTCAGAGTCGCCTGTATCAGCAGAGGCCATTCGTGGCCGACAAGCTCTAAGAGCTTGACCACGGAGTCCTGTGGATGGAGGCGTCGGTAGGATGTAACATGGGCTAGGGTTGGCGCTTAGGGCTTAAGGTTTTGGGGTTTGGCTGGGGGGTTCTAGGGATGAGGGTTTCGAAGTTGTGGTCTGAGGTTAATGTGGACCCTATGCTCTAAACGAAACACCCAAAGGCCCTGTACAAAACCGAAACCGAAGATTACACACAAGTCTGCCGAGTTGCGGGCATGCACCTGTAAGGTCCTACTATAAGCCCTGATGTGTATAGCAATAGCAGAATGTAGCTTCTGGTTGGTTAAAAGGTCAAGCTCAGGCTCCAGAGAACAGAGCAGCAGGTGCGCTCAACATGCTAAGGCACGGTGTCTGCCGGCACACCGAGCGATGTTCATCGCACAAGACCCAATACAGGAAAATCTGGAACTGTACCAAAACTGCCTACCTAGTACCATGAATCAGGTAAACCCTACACCCCTAAACCCCAAACCCGAAAAGCCCCATGTTAGAACACCCAACAGCTCCTTCTTCCGTCCAGCATCGGGCCCGGGGCTCGCCGAATCTCCTGTTTGCAAGATCATGAATCCTTTAGGGTTTAGGGTTTAGGGTTTAGGGTTTAGGTGACTGAAGGCTTACCGAGATTGATTTTATGACATTGTTCTGAAAGGGACCAGTACTTGATGTAGAGGGGCCCGCGCAGGTTTGTGTCAGGGTTCATATGGGCTTGCGTAGGGTCGTTAGGTTTTTGGCCAGCCCCTGGCCAACCCAAGGGTTTTAACATTGGCATCCTAAGTAGAATCCTTCATTATGGGAGGAGGATTACTCATCAAGGCTTTGTACATCACTCACTGTTTTTCAGATCCCTTTTGCTGAACTTAAAGGGAACAGGACTGCGGGGCTTGCAGGGTGTCGTGCATGGCAATTAAGGATCCTGCATTTTCAGTTGTTGCTGTTGCTGTTGTTGTTGTGGTTGCGGTTGTGATTGTCGCTGATTTTGTGGCTGTCGTTGTCGTCGTTATTGTTATGGTTGTTGTTGTGGTTGTGGCTGTGGTTGTGGATGCGGTAGTCGTTGTTGTTGTGTGCACCCTCACATATTGCGAAGGCCCGGTCAGGTCTATGTTCCATGTGTTTCCAGCCGCAGCTGCACGACCTCCTACCCTCACTTACCGTAAAAGCCCGGCCAGGCCACCGCATGTTTTCGTACCTGCACAACTACGACATGGCCCACCCTCACCCATCGCACCAACCGCTTACCACAAATCAGCGCTCAAACTGATGATGATTGACCCCGCTCACGACATGCGGCCCCACGCACACTCCCATTCCGATTCATAAAGCTTCGACCAGCCCTGCTGCGATGCCTAGGACACACTTGGACGCTTCAAAGACGACGTCTGCGACGACTCCACTATTTAGCAAGGCTGCAGGATACCAGCAATTTGGAATTTGAGGTCATGTGGCCATATACAGAGATGAGCGCGGAAGATGCCAGCCACTGGAAATGCTTCTCTCTCTCTCTCACTCTCACTCGCTCTCTCACTCTCACTCGCTCGCTCGCTCGCTCGCTCGCTCGCTCGCTCTCTCTCTTTCTCTCTCTCTCTCTCTCTCTCTCCCCCGGGCATGGGGGTCGGTCAAGACCCCCGGGCCACAGGCCCACCCGCATTGTTTTAATGCAGGATAGGGGTGTGAGGAACGAACATAATACTCCTAAAGATGACAAGTATGTAGTATGCGATGGCGTGCAAGGGAGTATGTATGTTCTCAATGACATTACTTCCCCCGCTTTTCATGACTGTCTGCTTGATTACAACGAAACCATGCTCTCTCTCTCTCTCTTTCTCTCGGCTCCTGACAACCGCGAACCCATTTACCCCAGAATTCTAAACTCCGAAACCCCAAAGCCCCAAAGCCCTAAACCCAATCCCCCCAATCCGGCCCGAAAAAGGAACCTATAACAAGACTTATAACCTCAGATTAACATGACAGGTTCGGTATCCTACACCCGAAAGCCCGAGATCCCAAACCCCCTATAGGCTCCTGTTGCGGAGGCCGGTGCTGCAGACTCTGCAGAGGACGCGGCCAACAACTCAACCTGAGCATCTTCGTTTCAGGGAAGTTTGGCCGGGCTGCATTAAAAAACCCTAAACCCTAAACTCCTACACCCTAAACCCCTAAATCCTAAACCCCTAAACCCTAAACCCCTAAATCCTAAACCGTTTGGTTTATGGGCCGAGGTTGGGCTTCGGCTTCTGCTACCAGCTCCCAGGCTTGGGCGTCTTCGGAGAATTGGAGTTCTTGAGGATTGAACCTTGAAGCTTTCCTAGGGTTTAGGGCTTTTAGGGTTT